CCAAGCTCCAGCCGTGCCCAGGCACAGGCGGAGACAGAAGCGGTGCCACCCCTACTCCTGGACTCCTTCCTGACCCTCATAAACCTCTCCAGGCCTGAGCCTCCTGCTCTGTAAAATGGGGATGGTAAGGGAAGTGTCCTGGGAGGAAACAGCCTGTGGTCTCAAAAAGGGTGTCTGACGGAAGGGATTATTAACCAAGGTGCATGCCAGGTAGAGGGAACCCAGAAGGCTGGGGAAGCACCAGGACGGGCCACACGGAACGCTGTTCCCACCCGGGCTGCCAGGGCAGGGGAGGAAGCAGTCACAGAACTGCAGAGGTGCAGCTGTAGGACAGACCACCTCGCAGGCTCTGGGCCTTAGGAGGGAATTCAGCCACTGTTGGAGGCCCAGCAGAGAGGAGCTGGGAGGCTAATCGCCCTGACTCTTCTCCCCCCCACCCCACCCTCTGATCGCCTGTGGGAGCCCCAACAGGAACCAGAGGACAGGGGGCGTGGTGGACGCTGTCTCTGCAGACCAGGCTCCCAGGCCTTGCAGAGAAGGGCCGAGAGTGGGCGTGGAGGGGCAGACAGAGCGCTCAGCTCAGCGACCAATATAGTGCCTGCCTTGAGGATGGGTGTCAGCGTTTACCCCATCACTAACAGGCCTGCAAAGGGGGCGTGAGCAGCCCCCCGTGTTATCGACATGGAAAGTGAAGCCCTGAGCACGAAGTACATAAGAGGGCACACTGCTAGCAAGTGGTAGAGCGCATTTAGACTAGTTTCTGCCAGACCTTGACGTTCCACACAGCCACAGCAAGCGGTGGCCGACACTCTGTGACTTAAGGTGACTCTTCCCCACACGCGCGATCTTCTTACCGGGCCTGTAATCCCGCCATGATTTACTCACTCTGGCTGAGCACCTCCTCCCCGCTGCTGTGCAGTTTCAAACGCAACACCCTGGGAGGGTCATCACTTCAGTCGTGGACCACTGGCAGGGAGAGAGCTTCCCAGGCCCCTCTTTCTGCTGGTGGAGGCCTTGGGAACCTGTGAGGTCTGGAAACACTGAGAGGGGAACAGCCAGCTCCGAATAAGACCGCTGTGGACCCCATGCAGTTACGGAGCTTTCTGAGCCCTCTCACTCCCATCACCCCCTCCTCACCGTTTCCCTGGGGTCCTGGCATCAGGAGCCCACTCCACAGCCGTGGGGAGGTAGCCCAAGGGAATCTCACTTTGCTCATGTTCAAGTTCTGGCTACGATGGGCAGAGCCACGTGGGGGGAAGGCAGTGGCTTTAGAAGCCAAAAGACAATGCAGTTCGAATCCTTACTAACTGTAAAACCTCAGGCAAGCCCCTCGCCACCACAGCCATAGCCATCTTCAAAATAGGGGTCCGAACACCCACCTCACTGTGTTCGGTGAGGATTAAATGGGACCGTTCTTATCAGTCCCCGGCACAGCCCCTGGCAGCCAGCAGCCCAGGCAGAGAAGGCGCAGAGGATAGTCTCAGCCAGCTGGGTAACCCTGGACAAGTCGCTTAACCCCCTGGAGCCTCATTTGAAACACAGAGCAGTCACATTCCTGTCTCACAGGTTTGTCTGGAAGGTGATATAAGTTGAGGTGTCTGAAAGCACTTTTTAAACCACTCTAGAAATAAATGTATTTCTTCAGCCATATCAACAGCCAACATCAGCGAACATTTTCCCCAGGTGCCTACTATGTTCCTAAAGCTGTCACGGGTGGCTTCCTTCAATTGTCACGGCAACCCTGTGCAGAAGGGCTTTTGTATTATTCCCACTCACAAATGAGGAAATTGAGTCTCAGAGAGGTTAAGTAACCGGCCCAAGGTTGCACAGCTGGAAAGTGACAGAGCCAGGCTTCGAACCCAAGCAGGCTGAGAAGCCTGTGGAGAGGGAAGCACCTGCAGTGAGGGGGCCCTGGGCCCAATCAAACAGAACTGAAGAAGCGTGCTGTCCAGCCTGGCTCGAGCCTTCATACACTTTCAGGCCTCACTCACAGGATGCTGATCCCATGAGTTGAGGGTGGGGCCTGGGAACCGACCTTTTCACAAGCCCACAAGATGATGCCTGTGCAGGGGGTCAGGTAACCACCCAAGCAGGACCGTGGCACGTATCCCACCGCCCCACCGGTAAGGTTTCTCAGTAAGTGACTGTCATAGGCTCTGGAGGACCCTGCAGGTCCAGGCAAAAGCCCACAGGGGGACCCATCTTCGCATCTGGCCTGCAGGTTTGCCAAGTACTACAAGATGGAGAATGGCAGCGAGTACCGCACACTCCTCAAGGCTTTTGGCATCCGCTTCGACGTGCTGGTGTACGGGAACGTGAGTCCTCGGATGGGCAGCTGGGTGGACAGGGGAGGAAACCCAGACCAATCTCGGGCCCTGCAGAGGCTCCTCCGGGGCCAGGGTCCTGCCACTGAGCAGCTCTGAGACCCTAGGCTGGCCACGCCCCCCAGATCCCTAACCTGGACTGCGAAGGGGTGGGTCCTTCCGTTGCATGATGTCTCTGTCTGGGAGTCCAAGTTGAGCCTCAGGCCTCACCCCCGCTCTGCTGGACCCTCTGCCCACTTGCCTTGGTCTTTGTGCACGTAGGCTGGCAAGTTCAACATCATCCCCACCATCATCAGCTCTGTGGCAGCCTTCACCTCTGTGGGAGTGGTGAGTTATGCCCCTCCGGGCCCTGACAGGAGGCCAGTCAGGGCAGGGCCCCAGCTGGCAGGGGAGTGGCCCAGGGAACGCTGCCTCTGCCTAGGATGAGCAGNTCCTTCCCTTCCGCTGCTCTCCCAGGGGACCCACAAATAGAGAAGTATCTGAGACGTTACTTCTGGACCTGATTACGAAGCAACAGTCTTGGCTGTTATCTCTCCGGCCCAACAGACCAGGCCCTCGGCTTATCTACCTGACTTGGGGTGGGGAGAGATTGACCAATTCTGGGGCCCAATAGCGTGGTCCCTTGATTTCAAGCTGAGGGCCTCTTTAGTGGGGTGAGGGTGGAGGGTTAGCCCCTTCCCCATCAATCCCCCCCATCGTGGGACCCAAGCCAAGGGCATCGTATCACTCAGGGCTTGGGATGACCAATAAGTCAGCCGCCCTCATGTGTCAGAACCACTTGATGAGTTTACACACTATTTCATTTGAACAACGCTGTTTCACAGATGAGGAAATGGCATCTCAGGGAGCTTTAGCAAGTTGCCCACGATCACACAGCAGGTCAGGAACAGGCCTAAACCCATCTTCCAGCTCCGTGCCCACCCCACACCTGCCTCCTCTGCCTCCTCTTACCAGCCTCCCTTCTCTGCAGCCAGCCCCTTCCCCACAGGACCCTGCTCCCCTTGCTCACAAACCCCAGGCAGAGATATTCCAATGGCTTCAATGACCACGGGGCTGTCTGATTTAAGCTGGAAATCACATTTTTTAAGGTTCCACGCAGTCAAAACACTATGCTTCGTTAATGCTATCAGCTCCATCATCCCACTTACTTAATCTTTACAATCATTCTACAGATTAAGTATTGCCATCTCTAGCCTACATATCTATACAGAAGCTCAGAGAGGTTAGATGACTTGACGTAGGTCATGCACATGAAAGGAGTGCCACGTGTGACCCGAGCCTGACTCCAACATCCTTGCTTCTTTGATGAGCCTAAATGCGTTACCCCCAGACGGTCTAGCCAGTGCTGCCAATGTTTTCAGCATCCGTGAAACTCCAAGTGCCTGGTGTGTTCACAGGGGTTTCCTACTCTGCCTCTAGTCTCAAGGTTCAGTGCAGCCCCACATCATGCTCATGATGGGTTTTGCCGCCGTTTGAGCGGCAGTGTAGTGTGATGCATAATGAAAGGACAAATCCCAGAGTCAGCCCCTGCGAGCCTCAGTTTTCTTGTCTGTAAACCAAGGCTGACAGGACCTCCCTCAAGTGACATCAACTCCAGTAATGCTCTCAGAACAGGGCGTGGCACATGGCTTGGGGGTGGCCTTGTCAGGAAACCAGGACTGGAGCTGTGACCTTCATCCACAAATTGGACTGAGGGTCACTGTGTTCCTGCGCTGTGCTTCCTGGTGTGAGGAGCTCCAGGGGTTCTACTGTGAAGACACCAGCTTAGCTTCATGGAGCTTAGTTAGGCCTCGTGCTAGAGAGGAAAAGTGACACACAAGCACGTATTTGGGGATGTAAGGCAGTCTTCCTGCTTTAATCTCATGTTTTCATCTTTTCTTAGAGATGTATAACACGCATCCTGTAAAGTAGGGTGGGCTGCTCACTCTATATTTTTATAGAGTGAATGCACCAACGTAACCATGCCAAGGTCAAGATCCTGAATGTTACCAGGAGCCCAGATGCCTCCTTCGTGCCGCCTTCTTGTCATTAATGCCCTAAAGCGGATGTTTATTAGCTGGAAGTCACACTTCTGTCACAACACACACCCCCAACAGAAGGTTTATGAGGGACAAGACAAAACCCACCCAACACTTAGTTCAGAGGCTGACACCTAGTAAAAGCTTAATAAATGGGAAATAGTCTTTCTCTTCCTTATGAATATTTGAATAAAGGAAAGGAATTCTTTTCAATCCAGGTACAAAGCCCAGGAGAGCAAGGAGTGAAAGCCAGACTTCAGCTGCGTTGTCCACAGCCCCCAGCCCTGGGCTGAACGCAACAGAGTTTCAGAATTCCACCATGTCTGAAATCAACAGATGGCATGGAGCTGAGGTTACACTCGGCTTCAGTTTGATTTCTATCTCTTTCTCAACTTACTGTGCAACCTTGAGCAAGTAGATTCTCCTATCTGGGCCACATTCAAAAAACTAAACTTCTTTATTGGTTTCTCTCTCAGACCCTGGTCCCATTTGTAACTCTCTGACTTTGAGGAGTCCCAGAGGAAAAGGGCTTCGAGTGCTGAGCCCCTACTTCCTGCTCCCCTGTCTAGTGGACAGAGGTTCAGAATGCCTTCCATCCTCATGTCTGACCGGGACTCCCTCACCTCCAGCTGGGTTGGAGTCCTATGTCGCAAGGTGAACCCAATGCTCAGGGACTCTGTCCTGCCTCCCCACTGTGCTCCACGTCCACGAGATCTTACCCTGGAAGCAGCCAATGCTTCCAGCCATGGGATCCTAATGGTTAAAACAACAATGCCTTGGGGCCAGCTGAGTGGCGTGTTGGTTAAGAGCTGGCTTGAGACGCCAGCTCTGAGCAGCAGGGCCCCGGTTCAGATCCCACATGAGGGCCAGTGACGCTGCACCCTCTACAGCTAAGATGGTGAACAACAGCTCGACCTGGAGCTGAGCTGCTGGAGTAGACTGCGAAGGCATAGGCTGCGGTGGGGCTGCAGTGGGCTGCCTTCCATAAGCTACCATGAGTGGCTGGCAGGCAGCATGAGCTGCCCTGAGCCGCCGTGAGTGGCCGTCCAATGGCTGGCGAGTGACTGCCTCACCCGGGAAGAGTGCAACGATAATACCAACATGGGCCTGTGAAGCAACGTCCTCCACAACTAGACTAAAGAACAAAAAGACAGCAACTTGTCTGCTCCCCTTCCCCTAATCCCCAATGCTGTTCCCATCCCCTAATTTCCCAATAAAATTTTTGAAAAATAAGAATAAAAAAATAAAAAGTAAAACAACAATGCTCTGGAAAAATGCTAGGGGCTCCATTTATGTTTGCCGAGGAAGTGAATGAACGACAAGGCAAAGCAATTCCTGTATACGATGGAGCTGAGCAGATTCATCCTGAAACAAGATCTTAGGCAGGAATATACTAAAAGTAACAGCAGCAGCAGCTAATGTTTAGGAAGCACTTTCTATATGCTAAACGCTTTCGGTGCTCCATGTCATTTAATCTTCTAAACAACTCTCTGAGGCAAGTGCCATTTGTTTCCACAAATTACAGACAAAAAACTGAGGCTCAGAATAGGCTCAGTTACTGGCCAGGTCAACGTCAAGGCCAGGACCTGAGTCCAGAGCCTGCATTCTTCCCCTCCCTCCACACCTCCCTCCCCTGTGGGGGTGAATTCGTGGCACAGAGCACTCAAGTTCATTCTCTAACATGAGCGGCACTCACCGTGACCTTGGACGTTAGTGAGGCAGGTGACATGGGAAGTATGAAGGACATGCTCCTTGGAATTAATCAGACCCTGGCTCCATTTCTGGCCCTGTCGCTCGTGAGCTGGCCCACCTGGCCAGGCCCCGCATCACCCAGGTTCAGTTTGCCCTTCTCTGAGTTAACCTAAGGATGACAACCTCACAGGGCTTGGGGAGCATGAACGGAGAAGCTGGTTGAGCAATCACCCAAGTGTCTGACACACAGTAGGTCCTCAACAAACAAACAATTCTGAACATTACCCCCATTTCAGAACTAGAGAAAGCAAGGCTTGGAAAGGTTAAGTGATGGTC